TTGTTAGTGCGTGGGGGATTATAAAAATCACCATAGAGTGTGTATAGATATGAAGATAAGCAAGTCCTTCAATGTCTCGATTGAAAAGTTATCAAGAAAATATCCCATTCTGGACTTTACTTTAGTTGCAAGACGGCACTGACAACGACGGGGGGKGGGGGATGGGAGGACGGAGTGGGAAAGGGGGAGCATGGATACTTGACCCCCCCCCATTCCCCCTTCCTCCTTCCCCCTTCCCCCCAGGCCTTTTCTGAGTCCGAAAAATAGTTCGCATTCCCAAATATAATTATGCATATACCCACATGCTTTAAAGACCCATTGCCACTTACCGTGATGCATCACAATTTGTTTACATTTTGAATCGTGTCACCACTGAAAAAAACAATTCCAAAATCTTGAATAAAGTCTTAAAAGAATGTAAAAGAATCATTATTGTGACTTAGTGCTATGTCAGAAAAGGATTTAATATAGAGTTATTATTCAATATATGAATCTTTGAATTTCATGGACCACGAAATTCATCTGTGACCGCGGTGCATCACGGTAAGTGGCAATGGGTCTTTAATGATTTTTTTGTTTTTTGCTTTTCATTGTGTTAAATTTTAGCTAATATATATTTATCATCGGCCATCAGGCGATTCTCTTGTTCCTATTCTACAATTGTCGGCTAGAAATAATTTTTTTTTAAATTTTAACATTGAAGAATTCATTTGCTTTCATCATTTTCCTCTATTAATACAATGTTAAAATCGTTTGATTTAGAAGAGTACCTTGTCCTTTCAATTGACCATCACTCGACTTTCAAGTCTAGCCCTCTGTAGCATTGTGGTCTGTAAACTGTCCGGCACATCCCTTTCTCCTGAATGTGGGAGAGTAATTCACGAAAGAGTTTCTATAGCAAAGAGAGGACGTCTGCGATTCCTCCCAGTGCACTAAAGCAACAATTACATTATAACGTCTAGACTTGTGTCTGCCAATTATAAAGAGTGATAATTTTTTGTTTAGGACAACGACGTTCTGAGAGAGATCATGGACGAGAGCGGAGGATTGGAAATTTTCTTTGTTGTGAGTAAAATAGAACCACAGGAAAGTGATTCCTCCGACGAAGAAGACGAGGACGAGGACGACGAAGAAGATGGAAAGGAAACGGTCCAAGAGAGCAAGAAACGACGCGTTTTTGAACAGCTTGTCAAGAATGGCTATTTGTCTCCTGACAAAGACAGGGATTCCAATGAGAATTTTCATGGTCTGTCTGCATGGAAGTTGTATGAATGTCGCTGCAAGAAAAAGAAGAATCCTCATTGGAAGGATCCTGGTAACATCTATAAAGAATACACAGATGCTTTCGATAGGTTCCAATCATGCCTTAAGAGTTTCGCAGAATCTTGTCTGAAGGGGAGTGTTAAGATAGCATGTCAGAAGTTGATTGCAGTTCTTTCGAGGTGTCTGTATTTCTTTATTGAGAAAGCTAATTTACTTACGCAGAACAGGGATGCCACGCTGGTTATGCTAAAGGTAATTGACCAAGAGGTGACAACCCTGCATGTCAACGTCTTACGACAAATCCAAAAACAAAAGGAAGAAATCAAGGAAGTGATGGCTGAAAACATCAAGGCCCTAGAGGAGAATGTCAGTGAAGCTGCAAGATCTTTTCGGTACAGTGAAGAATTTGCTAGTATGCTTGGTAAAGATGGTTATGTCAGTGGAACCGAAGCTGTCAATCAGTGTCGTACCCAGATCGAACAAATGGTCTTCAACAAAGTGCAGGAAGCAGTCAAAACTACATTGCGCTCCATGTTTCTCACTCGTGATGATTTTCTTGAAGATCTTATAAAAAAGATGAAGAAGATCGAAGAAGAAGCCTTCTCAGAGGAAGAAATGTCAAACTCCGCGTCTGCCACACTTTTTTCAACTTTGGTGGTTTGCTATGAACCTGACGTCGAGTGCAAGACCGGAGGCTGGACTTTCAAACGAATATTACAGAGAATAAGCGAGTGGGTGAAAGGCTTTTTTACGCGGCCAGTCATTACTATAAAAGGCAAGGTTAAGGTTGGAGAATCCAAATGGAAAGAAAAAGTAGCCTTGGACACACTTGGTGCAATCGATGTGTTTGAAATTTGTGAAGATCTGGTGAAAACTCTTAATAACCATTTTGAGACCTGCTATGAGAAGTTTAAGGTGGAGTTGAAGAACATCGTGGACGTGTTAGCAAAGGGAGAAACCTTAAAGGATTATCAACGAAAGGGTGAGAAAAGCTTCAGTTGCACTCATACATTTTCGTGACTGTAACTGCACAACCCATATATATCTATATAACCTGAGTTTCAGGCTCAAGGGGAGGGGGAGGAGAGGAGAGGGCCCTCCTCTCCCTTTCTCTCCTCTCTCCTACTCCTCCTTCTGAAACTCGTAAATATAATATGCCTCACAAAAAATGCAATTTTCCATTCCAGACATTTGTTATTCCCTAGAGTAATATCCGCTGTTTATGACTGCTGATGAGATGATTTTATGAAATGGAAAAACATTAGACCCAAACAAATAAGGCGTTTGTGTTTTTGGCTTCCGTCAATCAAATTGCCAATGGCCCGAGTTACAATCTTTTGACTCAATGGATGCCAAAATCAAGACGTCTTGGGTCGTACTGGTAGCGTAGTCACAAATATGGATGTATATACCCTCATATATCGGGGAATTTAATCTGTGCCCGGCAATATGTCATCATGAGGGAAGTGCCACGAAGAGAGTCATTTGTATTCTGTGCCGGGGGAAAATGAGGAGATTCGCTTGAAGTTTTTCTACAAAGATAGTTCCTTTTGATTTGAGTAGGATTCGTTTTTAGTTGAGAAATCGTCGAAAATAAAAAGCTTTCGGGCATCTAATCACCACCATACTATATTTTTAAAATCTTTTTTTTTTTTTTTTGTTTGTTTGTTTTTGTTTTGGAGAGTTTTAAAAACCTAACATCAACCTTATAGTAATATGCTGACGCTACGAAAATCACTGAACTGCGGAACAGGCCCGAGTTTTCTTTTGTCAGCAAAGCCCACTTTTGTATGATTGCCCCACCCATTTTCAATGATGGATTCCAAATATAATACGTGTATATGATCAAAATGCAGCCACCCTGTTTCAAAATTTGTTTTGTCATACCTTGCCATGTATTTCTTTTTATAGCAATCCTTCAGTTTGCACCAGACGTGGCTAGCCTCGAGATGCTTTGCCACAGCATAAACGACCTTAATAGATACGGCAGACCACAGAAGGGTGAAACTATCAGTGCCGGTGCTCAGGGCCATGTTTTTGAGTGCTTGAATATCAAAACCGATGAAGGCAAACCTTGTGCCGTCAAGGTCGTTCCAGTCCCTAACGAAAGTGCGCTCAAAGATTTGACTCTTGAACTTCACACTTCGAGGTTAGTATTACTTGTTATGGGTTATCTGTGGCAAATGGCTTCAATTAAGATACACGGAGGGTTTTCCTGGCTAGACTTCTACAAGCAACTATTAATTAAATTCTGAAAGGATTTTTTCTCTCTCGATTAAAGTAGTTGCCCGAGAATTCCGGTCAAAAAAAACCCTTTTTTTTTCAAATGCAAGTTGTACAATAGTACCCAGCGGTCTTTACGATGTTACTCAGAGGCTTTTTCGGGCATACATTATAAAGTTCTCGTGCATATTCTGGTCAATTCGGCATGTGACAACTGTCAATCACTGCCACTATGGTGGTAGGAGGGGGATTCTTATGGCGCAGTTCTGTGCTGTGCTGTGCTGTGCTGTGCTGTGCTGTGCTGTGCTGTGCTGCGAGGCACTGGCTGTGCTGTGCTGTGCTGTGCTGCAAGGCACTAGCTGTGCTGTGCTGTGCTGCAAGGCACTAGCTGTGCTGTGCTGTGCTGCGAGGCGCTGGCCCTGCTGTGCTGTGCTATATGTTGTTATATCCGTGCATATGCACATTTTGTTATATTACCTCGTCTTATCTTTGTTTTATTCATATTTTATTTTGTCTCAAACATATTTTATTGATTTTAAAATGTCAGAGGGCTCAACCATCCTAATATCCTACCAGTTGTCTGCACAATCATAGAGCCAGTCCAAAGTGGACTCACGGTATCAATAGTGAATGAGCGCATGCCTTCAGATCTTCACCACGCACTACCAAACATTACTTCTCTTCGGGAACGCCTTAATATTCTATTAGACGTTGCGTCAGCCGTGCAATATCTTCATAAAAAGGGATTGATGCATCGAGATATCAAACTACAGAATGTTCTGGTAGGTAGATTGCTTGCGTTTTTGTTTTACATGATAGCTTTTAGTAGAGACTTCTCTGTGTTTTGAAAATACTCATGAGACCAGACCGTCTTTAGAGTTGTTTCATAAACCCATGAAACAAAGTATATTATATTGCAGTCTAGTGGTGAAATCTTCAATCATAGTTGTGAACACGTCAAGAACCATGAAGGCATCAACCGTTTCTGCACGCCCAGTATTTTGCACCTCGCAAGCAATCAATAGACCGTTTTCTCAAGGTTGCGTGCGCATCCAAATTTAATTGACTTGACGGGCCACGATAATGAGAATTATCATACATTTCTATGGAAATTTTTTTCGATAAGTATTCATAAAATTGATTATTCTCCTCTTTAAATATAAAACTGGCTTCTCAATTTTACTGAATTTGCGTTTTTTAATTTTGTGGTCCGTCAAGTTGAATGCTCACGCAACCTTGAGAAAACAATGCAAAAATTATCCTTTGAATGTCATTTGCAACGCGAAATTCGTGCGAGTGGCGCAAAATACTAATGAATGTTTTCCTGTGGAATGTTTGAGTACAAATGTAAGGCACGTTGAATCAACGTGATCATTTTTACTTCAATTTCCTAATCTCTTATCTCTTTTACTCATACACATGCAATGTTGTCGACATAACATTAGCGCCAATATAATATAATAATGCCGAAATCTTGAAAACGATGCTGAATCGGAAAACCCTAAAAGGAAAACAAAATAATTAGAGTCTTAATAGTACTATATAATCTAARGTGCATTTCACGGGTTTATAAAAGCCACTCTAGTGCTAACCTAAGTACTCTGAACGATCGTAGATTACAAGATATAGCTATACTTATGTATAAAGTTAAAAATCGTTTAAGCCCTTCCTATGTTACTGACTTATTTAATCAGTCCAGTTGCAGATATAATCTTAGGAATTCTGAC